AGAGAGAGAGTGGGAGGGAGGGAGGGAGGGAGGGAGGGAGAGAGAGAGACATCAATGTGAGAGAGACACATCAATTGGCCACCTCCCACAGGTGCCCTGGCCATGGCCAGGGATCGAGCCTGCAACTGAGGTACATGCCCTTGGCTGGAATCAAACCTGGGACCCTTCAGTCCACAGGCTGACACTCTAACCACTGAGCCAGACTGGCTAGGGCCAGGTTTGTATTTTTTGCATTAAAAAATTAGGAATTTAATTTTGTGTCCTTCTAAATTGAATTATGTGTTTCTGTATACTTTTTAAAAAACAAACAAACATTTCAGCAGAATTTCCTGCAGCCTAAGTGGAAATACCCCTGCGGCACTCCAGAGCCGCAGTAAACCATGGCACTGTTGACATTTGGGGCTGGAAATGTGTATGCTGTGGAGGTTGTCCTGTGTCTTGTGAGGTTCTAGCAGCATTCTCGGTCCTTACCCACTAGATGCCAGTGGGACACTAGCCCCAGTTTCAATAATAAAAAATGTCTTTCAATACTGCTCAGTGTCCCCTGGGGGACAAAAAAGTCACCCCTGGTTGAGAACTACTGATCTGAAACAGCATTCCTAAAATGCATTGTGTGGAACCTGAGTTTAGTGGATATGTGTACGTTTGCATGTATTAGTTAAGCTATTTTGTGTTGTATTTTTGGTCCCCATTATTGTGTATGTTTTCATATATTTACATAACCAGGTAAATATGTTTTTCATTTTAAAACTTTAAGATACCTTCACAATTTTGTGATTCTGTTTCGTTTTGTTTTTCTGATCATTTTATGCCCGTGCCTGTGTGGCGGAGCCTTTTGAGCATCTCCGGCTTTTTAAGTTTTCTATGTTTATTTTGTCTTCTGGCCTAACAGGCTCGGTCAGTCCCAGGGGCCCGGGTAGGGTGGTATCGCTGCTGGGCCCATTGCTGAGGTGCTGCCCCTCGGCTCAGGCAGTGCCAAGGAAGAAAGCGTGTGTGAGGGGCCCTTGCCTCGAAGGGCTGGGGTTCGTATTTTTCATAAAAAGTCTTCATTGACCCTTAATAACAAATACATCAGGAAAGGTTTGAGGGTCAGCTTTTTAATGATGCCAGTGATAGTCAAGGTCTTAAAAACAAAGCTGTGATGCGAATTGAAATTCGACCAGCTGTAATAGACCATCCAGTTCAGAATTTACTAAAACAGGCCCCAAAACCATTAAAACACCTTAGTGGTTAGAGTTTTGCAGTGTCTTTAGTGAACATATGTGGACTTTTGGCTTGGAAATGTTTTTTGGATGGATTTTGTGTTAACAGAATGTAATGTCTATGATTTTATTTGAATATTAAACTTCAAGTGGGACCTTCCTAAACCTTGTTCGAAAAATAAAGTGATTGATTGGCAGTGTTTTCCTCCGACTGCGTTATTGGCTGAGCCCCTCGCTGGGTGGGGATTGTGAGTGAAGCCTGGATAGGAGATGGGACGGGTGGGTGACCACTCACTGAACTGTAGTGACGGACAGTTTAGTGTCCTAAAAGGTGTCTTGGAAAAGATCTCTTTTTTCGAGTATAGAGTTTTGAAAGCTTTCTTGGATTCTGTGACAGCTTGCTGAATTCATATTAGCGGTTTAGTTTGGACAAGAATCATCAATTAAGTGTTTTGAGGAGAGATTAGCAACCACAAAGAAAACCTAGAGATGTAGTTTGCAGATGCCTCCTGACTCTTGCTGTGTCCCCAGTCCTCTCCTGGCTCTGTAACCATCTCACAGGCGAGAAAGCTGAAGTTACCCTGGAATTTCCTGCGTTTCTGTTAGTGGAATTGATTGTGCTCATTAGTTGAAGCAGCTTTTGAGAGCAGCTGGGGAGGTGCCCTGCTGAGAAGGAAAGCCCTCGCCTGCGTGGCGGCTCTGGAGGATGGAGCTGCTCTACTGCGTTGGGCCTGTCTGTAGATCAAAGGAAAAATGCAAAAGACTTGATGTCCGCACAACTGAGTTGCAGAGCAATTTTTACAAAATATGTTTTTATTGATTTCAGAAAGGGGGAGGGAGAGGGAGAGGGAGAAAGAAACATCCATCAGCTGCCTCCTGCACGCCCTCTACTCGGGATGGAAACTGCACCCTGGGCATGTGCCCCGACTGGAATCCAGCGGGCACCTCCTGGTGCATGGCACAGCGCTCAACCAACTGAATCACACTGGCTGAGCTAGAGAGCAAATTTTTGGTGGGTAAAATAAGTTATGAACATGTCTCTTTGGACAGCTATATTTTAGGCCAGGGATTAGCAAATTACAGGCCTCTGGGCCAAGAGCCACGATTGCCATTCATGATACATTGTGAAGGAAAAAGAATATGCAGTAGAGACAGTATGTGGCCCACAAAGCCTAAAATACTTACTAGCTGGCCCTTTGCAGAAAATTTGCTGACCCCTCAGTCAGGTCTCAGCTGAAACAAATTCGAGCCAGTCTGGATAAATGAAATCAAATAGTGTAAGTCTGTTGGGGAAATGTGAATAATAAAGGGGAAGGTAGGATATTGTCCCCTAGTGGACTGTATCTTGCTGTGACTGGTATGTAATGACACCTGTGTAAAAAATAGGGCCTATGTAAATAGTTCTTAAATCATAATTAGAATCATAAAGGAATCCATGTGAATAAGTACTAAAAGCTAAATCTAGAAATCTTTGCTTTCACAACCAGTTCACATCGCCTCATTGCCCCTTTGTTTTTCCCTCCCTTTTGTTGACATCTGAGTCCTGAGAAACACTGCTTTGCTGAAGTCAGCGTATAGAGTTTGATTGTTTCTCATGGTGCCATCTTTTCCGGAAGCCGTTCTGAGACCCAGATGCCACTGGGAAAGCAAGGAGGGCTCCTTCCGCAAGGGCTTCTGTGTGCCACTCTCCCTGCATCCTGGGGCTGAGGAGCACTGTGTGAACTGGCTGCTGGAGAGCCGACCCCCCTGGGCTGAGCCCTGGGCGCCCGGGAAAGGAGCTGGGCCCCAGTAGGCCTGGACCAGGGTCACCTCCTGGTCTTTGGCTTACCAGGGCTTTGTTTTTCCTTTCTAGAAGCTACCCCCCTACTTTATCTTTACATCTCTTTTGTTCTTTTGTTTGTTTTTTTATTGATACTAACGGGGAGAGAGAGAAAGAAACACCCATCGGCCGTCTCCTGCATGCCTGCCACTAGGGACCAAGCCCGCAACCCGGACATGTGCCCTGACAGGGAGTGGAACTGGTGGCCTCTTGGTGCATGGGGTGATGCTCAGTCCACTGAGCCACAGCGACTGGGTTACATCTCTTTTGAAAGTGACAATTATAGTGCAAACAAAACATTTAACTATTTTCTATTTGTAGCTATGTTCTTAATAGGATGCCGTTAAAATTACCTGATTTGTCTAGACTAGTCAATCAGATGTTCAAAAGTAGTTACTGTGAGACACTTTGCTAAGTTTGATGAAGTCCCCCATCATAGCACTATATGACTATGTAGAGTATTAAATGTGTATGTATGTGTTTACTTATGGTATTATACAGGTTATGTGGCATTAATTGGGAACGAAGTATCACAGCTAAGTGAAACCCACAGATAATAAAGTTTAACCTTTAAATGCCCTGAAATTCATTTTAGGGTCTTTTAAAAGTGTTTGCAAATGATCTTAGAGGTGTTTGCTTTCCAGATTGTTGTGTACTCACTACTTGCACTGAGCCTATAAAGATGAGTAAGTCTCACCCTAGCCAGTTTGGCTAAGTAGTTAGAGCATCAGCCTGTGGACTGAAGGGTCCTGGGTTCGATTCTGGCCAAGGGTACGTACCTCAGTTGCAGGCTCAATCCCTGGCCCTGGTAAGGGCATGTGCAGGAGGCAGCCAGTCGTGTCTCTCTCACATCGATGTTTCTATCCACCCCCCTTCCTTCCCTCCCTCCCTCCCACTCTCTCTGAAAACCAATGGAAAAAATATCCTCGGGGAGGATTGGGGAAAAAAAAAGATGAATAAGTCTCAGTCACTGAAGAGAGCACAGTCAAGTGTGTAATGAGTGTACGTTTACGTTTCATTGACAGAACAAGGATTGTTGAAACAGATCTGGATATAGGTGTTTGTTTTAGGCAGTGTGAGAGTAACCAGCGGAAGACTGAAGATGGTGTGTAACTCCCAGGTTCCAGAGGGGAAAATGGGTCAACGAAGAACTTCATCATTTCCACAAAGGGGGTTAAGGGGAAAGAAGAAAACAAGGAAGCTTGCTTGGTACATGAAAAAAACAGCTAATATAAGAAGGCACAGATGAGCCCACATTTATCAGTAACCACAATTTGTGTAAAAGGGTTAAATCTCAGGTGATAAAACTCCAGATTTAGTAAAAAAAAAATAAAAAGAAATCTAGCTAAATTCTGTGTGTAAGCGATACATCTAGACCTAGCACGAAGAGAGAGAACAGAGGGATGGAAAACAGTCCTGACAAAAAGGAGCAGGCATAGCGATGCTAATGCCAGATGGAACTGGGCCCGAGGCGAAAGCATTGCAGGAGTACTTCAGACTTCTCAACGGTACAGTTACTCATCATTAACTAACGTGACAAGCTTTGGAAATATATAAAATAAAGGTTGATGGAAACAGGGAAAGCTGACAGTTCTGCACACACGGGCAGTGATCCTATAACACTGAACAAGCCTCAGACGAGGAGCAAAGGAGGAGGGCTGTGGAGGGGGGAGTTCTCAACCTGGGCCTGGTGGCATTGGGACCCGGCCACCCCGTGCACTGTAGAGTGTTTCGCAGCATCCTTGGCCTCTACTCACTAGATGCCAGTAGCTACCCCTCTCCCTCGTGATAACCAGAAGTGTTTCCGGATGTCGCCAATGTCCTCTGGGAGCCACAGTCATCTCTAGTTGAGAACCACTGATACAAAGGATTTAAGTAATATGGCTAATGGGTATGTATAAAAATGTGGGCCCGACAAACATAAAATATACATTCTCTTTAATTACATGGAACATTTAACAAAACTGGCCATACCCCTAAACATCTCAGCCCTTGCTCCTCAAAACGAAGGTGTTACCATGGCGTACAGCATTATCACAGCGTCTGACAGTCTCACGCTGCCTCGGACCAACTTCGTATCACATCTGTTTCCCAAGCTGTCTTTTACAGCTTTTGTTTTTTAGACCAGTATATATACTGCATTTGGTTGTTTTAACTCATAACAATTCTCTCACCTTTTTTATTTTTAGTATGTTTTTATTGATTTTAGAGAGAGGGGAAGGGAGAGGGGTAGAGAGAAACCTCGATGAGAAAGAAACTTGGGCTGCCTCCTGCACGCCCCTGCTGGAGATCGAGCCCACACCCCGGGCATGCGCCCTGACCGGGAATCGAACAGGTGACCTCTTGGTTCATGGTCGGTGCTCAGCCACTGAGCCATTCTAGCCAGCTCCCTCGGTTTTTTTTGGGTTTTTTTTGGTTGTGAGCACATCCTCAGGATTAGGCAGATCTGCCCAGAAGTTCCACCTGTGCCCTTTTGGGGAGGCCCATCCTGCTCATTTGTCTCATTACTGTTGTGAATTTTCACCTTTTGGTTGAGGTGTTTTCTACCAGGTCTCTCCACTGTGAAGTTACTGTTTCCCTTGTAACTGACAGTAACTGCCTTGTGGCAGGTCTCCTGGGACCACGTGCATTTTCTGGCCTCATCACGCGTTCACTGGCCAGCAGTGACGCCCGTGACACTTCTTGCCTGAAGCAGTGGTCACCGTGAGGTCTGCAGTGGTGGTGATCGAATCCACCCCCTGCTTGTCTGCGTATTGTCAGAATGCGACTGCAGTTTAGAGCTCCCCCCGCTTGTTCGTTTGTCTTTCAGTATGGACTTGCAGATTCTTGTTTTATTCCCAGTTACCGTTGTATTTTGTTGCTTAAATTGTCCCAGATTTGGCCGGTGAGAGCACCTGCAAGCTGGTTTGTCTCCCCTTTTGACATACGCCCCTAATGTATATATTTTTAATCCTCACCTGAGGAGTGAGGGCATTTTTTCCATTGTATTTTAGAGAGAGTAGAAGGAAGCGGGGGGGGGGAGAGAGAGAGAAACATCGATGTGAGAGAGACGCATTGATCGGTTGCCTCCTTCACGTGCCCCGACTGGGGCCAGGGATTGAACCTGTAACGCAGGTACGTGCTTTACTGGGAATCAAACCTGTGACCCTCTGGTGTGCAGATCAATGCTCTAACCACTGAGCCACGCCAGCCAGGGCACCCTTATAATTTTTTGAGCACAACTTTCAGGCTCATCTTGTACCCAGCCCTGGAATCAAATCAGCCATTTTTCTGAGGAATTTTGATTCTTTTCATTGAGAATTATATGTATCAACCAAAATATAGGTGCTAAGTGCTCACTGCTCCTGGGTATCATTGCTCCTAGGCCCTCTCAGTGGACAGAGCCAGGAACATGTGTGTGCTTTCATGCATGTGTATATATACACACACATATTCATGTGAATGTGTGAGATACACAGATCTATGTTTCTCTATATCCATGGACATTAAAAACCCTGAATTCATACTGACAACTCTTGTTTCGAACTCCTGGGTGGGGGTGAGCCACTGCGAAGACATGGGGAAAGGTGGTGTGGGTGATGTGTGTGCACAGCTGGCCATGCTCAGAGAAGGCCAGAGTGTTTGGGCAGAACTACCAGGCTGGGCAAGGCCGCGGCCTCCTGGAGGAGCCACAGACGGCCATCCCTCTAACGTGTCCACACTTGGAGTGGGGGAGGGGCTGGCCGGGGGCTGCTGTGAGAGGGCAGGGACAGACAAGGGTCACCCCTGAGAATCTGCAAGGGCGGTTTGGACCAGATTTGTACTTTGGAAAGTGGAGAATGGAGGGAAGGAGGGTAGGACTAGAGGCCACAGGAGCCCCTGCCCTGGTTGAGGTGTGGGCCATGGTGCAGGCTGGAGTCTTGGCCTGGGGCACAGGGTGGGTCAGGGCACTGGGAGGAGGGCTAGGGAGATACTCTAACAAGTTTGCAGATGTGTGGGGCCTCTCTCAAGATTGGGGGTCTCAGAGGCCAGAGAAGGCAATGTCATGATGACTACACACGAGCTCCCTTCCCAGAAGGGGGTTTGCCAAGTCCCGCTGTCCAACGGTGGGGCATAGGTGTAATGGCCGCTTTAGCGAGAAGGTATCTTCAGACAGAAAGATTCATGAAGCAGCTAACTCCATAGAATATAATGGAATTTATTAAATGGTAATGTACTTACAGGAAGATTGGGCCCAGAGCAGACTGAGAACCTAGCAGTTTGTGTAGATTGTATCCCCCTCCCCGTGCAGACTCCTGTTACTGCACTGTTTTTATACTGTAACTCAGGCACTAATGACTGACTAGGGGACAAGAATACGGTAGCAGCAGGGACCATCCCTCCTGGTGTTGATACTGTCACCAGTTTGGTATACATCTCGGTTGTCATCCTGGCCATGACTAACAAAAGTATTTATGGTTACATTTTAGGGAACACAGACAATCATTAACAAAAAGGCTTTGATGTGCTTACTAAAGATAGTGAGGTTGGTCAAAGGCCACAGCACCAAAGGACACAAAGATGAAGATGGTCTTTGCTCACGTCTGCATCTGTGCTCTGTTCTCTCCTCTCCCGTCCGCACATGACCTTTGTCTTCTCCCTCAGCTGTAGTAACCTGGCCGGCACCCCCTCCTCGGCCCCCCTCCTCCACCAGTGTGAGTGGCATCACCTGGTTGTACTCTTGTCCTGCTAGCTGCCACTCCTCATTCTGTGCTGGGTCCCCCGTCTTGCCAGCCTTCTTACATGGCCCACCTCCTCTCTCTTCCTGGGTGGTCTTGTGCAGTTTGGTGGCTTCACTTACTGCCTTACAGTCCTGGGGTTGCCGTAACCAAGTCCCACTAACTGGGTGGATGAAAACCACAGGAATGGATTCTCTCAGGGTCCTGGAGGCCAGACTGGAAATCAAGGTGTCAACAGGGCCATGCTCCCTCTGAAGGCTCAGGCCTTGTGCCAGCTGGTGGCCGGGCATTCTTGGCTTGTAGCAGCACAGCTCCGGCCTCTGCCTGATTCACGTAGCCTTCCCTTCAGTGGGTCTCAGGTCCCCGCCCCCCCTTAAAGGACACCAGTCATGGGATCTGGGGCCTCCCCTCAATCCAGGATGTTCTCATCTCAAGATCCTTAGTAATCACATCTGTGAAGACCCTGTTCCAGATAAGGTCCCATTTTCAGGAACTGGGGGTTAGGACTTGGGCATATCGTGGAGGACACAGTTTGACCCCTCTGTGCATACTAACCACACCCTGATTTTATATTTCTTGGATTTCTGAAGAGCATCTCACACCTAAAGTGTCCTGACTCTTGCTTTCTCTTCCCAGGCCACAGAACCTGCTCCTCACCATCTGCTCCTCACCTGGACATGCGGCTCTGCTCTGCCAGTTGCTCAGGTGGGAACCCTTCCCAGACCCCACTCCCACACCCAACCCCAGGCCACCTGCAAACCCTGTGCTCCCAGGCCCCCCTTGTCCACATGGCCCCCTGCCTGTCCATGGCAGCACTCCCCCACCCTGTGTGTTCCCCAGTCACTCAGCCTGTCCCTCACAGTCAGAGAGACCCTCCTAAGATGTAAGACCCTCCCAGGAACACCCAGTCTTCACTACGGCCCACGAGTGTCTGCAAACTGGCTCCGTGTCTCCTGCTCCCTCCCTTCCCTTCCTCCCTCACCACTCTGCTCAGCCACATTGGCTCTCCCTCCAGGCACTGCTGCGCCTGCCTCCAGGTGTCACAGGCAGCTCACTCCTTCCCTGCCCTATGTTTCTCCCAGGAACTATCAGTGGCCCTGCCCCGTCATTCTCTGTCCCCATCTGGCTTTCTTCCTCTCAACACCTTCTGACACCTGTGCGTGTTGCCAGGAAAACAAGCCGTTGTTTCCACCTCTAAACATACAGATGTTAGAAGAGTGTCCCCCAACCTCCTTGAGCACCCCTTTGTCATTCCTGTCTGAGCTCCAGTCTCCCTCTCTCAGCAGCCCTTGGGTCCAGTCCTTGAGGTCTCATATCAGCACCTTCTCGGAGAGCCTGCCCTGTCAAGTTGGGGAGCCCCTTCACTCCTGTCACGACACCGTGTGCTGCCTGACTTTCCTCTTGTCTGTGGTCCCTTAGCCGTTGGCCTTGTCTGCCCAGGAAAGCAGGGCCTCCTAGAACAGTGTCCTGCATGTGCGGACACTCACTAGACAGTTGGGCGGATGAGTGAATGAATCCAAATGGCTGACAAACCTGATAGCCAGTCAGGCTCACACAGGAACAAACCTGATCCCCGAGGAAGCAGGGTGATGCTGGGTAGCATTTGGCTTATCGCACAGAGTTAAGGGTGGTTTTTTCCCTCCATGTAAAAATACGTATTTAAAAAGTTACATGAATGCTGTGGAGTAGGGGGACCAAAAATGCACTGCAGTTATTAACTGATGCTTTTCTGCTTTTGTTTTCCAGACACCATTTACTTTTGACCCAAGATGATTTAATGTTTTATAATAAACTCACTAACCATGATGGCTACACAGACATTAAGCATAGACAGCTATCAAGATGGGCAACAAGTGAGAGCTTAAGTTTTATTCTGCGTTTTAATTACTGTCAGTGGACCTCGTACTAAAATACAAGCAATGCTTTGTGTATTAATAGTTCAATTTCCCTGAGATTGCAGGTTCAGTTTTAGTGTATTATGCATTTATTGTACGTTGTTCAAATTATCTCCAAGTGATACCAAGATTGCTAGTAATTTTCACTCCCCTAAATCATACTTTCTTTTAGAGCCACAATCAGTCCCTGGCCCAGCTGCCATATCTCAAATAAAGCTACAACCTCAGCTCTCTCCATATCTACCCTTTGCCTGGAGGAAGTGAAAACAAGTCAGATCCCAAACCTTCTTGACTCTGTGTCCCCCTGTTCACAATACAGACCAGGCAAAGGGCTCAGGCTGAGGTGTATGTGGGGTGAGCTTCCTCTGCCTCCTCTTTCTGTACAGTCAGTGTAAGAACACAGCCTGTGGCCATGGCCAGGGAGCTCAGTTAGTTAGAGTGTCATCCTGATATGCCAAGGTTTCTGGTTCAATTTCCGGTCAGGGCACATACAAGAAGCAACCAGTGAATGCATAAGTAAGTGGAACAAAAAATCCGTGCTTCTCTCTCTCTAAAAAATCAATTAAAAAAACCAAACACAGCCTGTGGTAAGCACCGGGAGGCCCAGGAATTTGACATTTTAATGTCAATGTTAGCAAGTATTGTTGCTTTTAAAGAAAAACTTGGTGGTGTTGATAATCACAGCTTCCCATGGAGATGGCTGCTAATCTGAGTGGGAATTGTATGGTTTCATATCCCCAGGTGTGAGAGGCAGAGGGGACTGTCCTAATGTACATGTGGCTTAGTTGCAGTGCTTTGCTATCTTACCTTTCCTCTGTTCATGCCCTTGGCTGTGTCTGCCCCACTTTTTTTGGATAATATAGGTGGCTTCTTGACAGCCCCTCACTGTCTGTAATGTGGTTTTCCTTGAAGCTACACTGGTGTTTTGTTCTGTGACCTGAAGGAATTGGGAAGGAGGGGGCTCACTGGGACTTGTGCAGCGTTTCTTGGGACACCTGAAGTCTTGGGAATTCCGTGTGCTCCCAGTCAGGGCCATTCTCCCTCTTTCTCTGGAGCCTGGGAGCTGATTTCTTGGTTTTTAAAAAATTTATCTTCATTGTTAAAAGTATTACAGATGTACCCCCCGTGGATGCCCTATACCCCACTCCCACCCCCTCCCCACCTGGGAACTGATTTCCATTAAAGACTTTCAGCTTTACCTTTGCTTCCCACCTGCCTCATAGTCAGGAGACAGGGATAGAAAGTCCACGCCAGCAGCTCTCTTCTCTCCTTGAGGATTTTAGTGAGCACGAGCACCTGATCAAATCTGGGCAGGGTTCACTCACCCACAGGTGGTCACATGCCCCCCTTTGGATAAGCCTCCAGGTGGGCTCCAGGTAGGCAGTTAGGACCTGAGTCTCTGCCTCCCTACCCCACCCTTGCTGACTCTCATGTCTTTCCTTGGTGGCCAGTTTTGCACCATTTCTGGTTTGGTTGCTGTTGCAGAGATTTTATTTGTTTTTGTGGGCTTTTAAATTTTTTTTAAGTGTTTTGTGTGTGGGGTTTTTCCTCTTACAGGAATTGAGGTGGAGAATTCTGTTTCAGCCTGCTCTTTTCACCTGGAAGTCCCTCGATATTTCCAAGTGACTTCGTTTCTATCACACAAATTTAATAATGACTCTTCTCTCTGTGCTGAGGTCTGCTCTTACACCCC